AAAATTACATTATTGTTCAAAAAATCAGTTTAGAGGCATGTTTTTATGACTATAAAGTAACTGAAAAATGTGCAAAAAGATGTTCAATATTTTTTAAGTGTGACCGATTAATTAACTGTGGTGGATAATACCAACTATAAACCACCAAATTTTCGAAGTGATTTTCTTTTTGGTACAACTTCGATGTGGGAAAGTGTTTTCGAGTTTCGTTGTGGGTTAACTATTGCGTAGAATGTCGTCGATTATCATGTGTGTACATTAGCCTCTTTTTGTAGCACATCACCATTCGATAAAGAAGTGAATTGTTTGTGCTGAACAAAAAAAGTGTTGACCACACTTCGTAATGCCATTGAAGAATTCACCGACTGGAAAACTCAGAAATTCTATTGTGACAGAATAATGTTAGGAGAAATGTGTAGACTGTAAAAGTTTTTATTTCGATTAATCAAATTTATTCTTAACTGAAGTATGCTACATTAAAGTTTACGGTTAAAGATCGAAGTTTATTTCTGGACAACTATATCTTTTCTGAATTTTTAATGTTGTTCATAATCTTAACCCTTATATCAATAAGGTTGCGTTTAAAAATTTTCTATGTTCCCGCCCAGACAGCGCATGACGCCTTAAAGACGGTTTAAAGACGCCTTAAACCTAAAATATCCGTAAAATAGGCGTCTTTGAGGCGTCATGTGCTATCTGGGATGTGTACTAAATTACATTGTAAAATATAGTAATATACATAATTCACAGTACAATTTTCCATAATATAGAGTAACAAAATCTATAGGAAATTAAAAATCACTATGAAGTCCACCAAAAACACCATTATTATTTCAGTAATTGTAAAATAAGAAATCTGCAATCCGTAATTTTGACGGGTTCAGTAGTTCTAGTGTAAAGAACTTCTTGTTCTTACTACAACGAAATTGGTTAAGAATTAACTTTTTTTTTACACTGTTCACGCCTGGCAACATTTTAACTCAGCCTCTTTCTGTAACTTTAAACGTTTACGCTGTCTTATTAGTTTCGTTTATTTTTATTCCATGATAATAGCGTTAAAGACATGTCAAAATGTTTGAAGAATTATTTAAAAGTAGGGGAAAGTTATTATCGCCTACAATTTATACAACAGTTCTCAGAATTTGTTGATCTATATTCAAGGACGCAAAAGCAATAAAAAAAAGTTCAAAAGAATATCAAAATGAAATTATACTTATAAACGCTAAAAAGTTTTACCAACAATCTGGCACGATTGATTTGAATATTAATTTCTATTGACAAAATAATAATTTAGATTATACGAAATGTACAGTATGATTTACTACTAATTAAATATTCATTTTTTCTTCATTATTTAGAGTAGATCAAAGTATTATTTCATTCTACAATATATTGCAATGAATATATAAAATAATTCTTACAAGTGTCGATTTAACTTAAAAAAAACCAACTATATCAATTAGATATTCATTAATATAATATTTCTACGCTATCACGAGACTATAAAATACATGCAATCACGATTTATTTGCAGGCTCATAAAAATAACAAAAAAATAAAATTTTACTACCCCACGGTACAAATTGCTATCAGAAATTAATATGTAGCTGAAAGCCAATTGCGATAAAGGAGTAGTGTATAACGAGTGGCCACCATAGCGTACGCTACTCTTGAAGACGGAACTATATTTAGCTTGGACTTTGGCTCAGTGCCCAGTCTTTTAAATATTTTCCGTTCAATCGTCGTAATGGTGAAAATTTTCGAAACTACGTGGGATTTATAATTAGCAGGCATGTGTTAAAACCATCGATGTGGGTCGAATAAACAAGAAACATTTAAACATTTTTGTTATCCTATGGGCACTAATTACCGTTTTATTATACCGACTTGGTTCCATTTCGTTACGTTCAGTATGTAAATAAATCATTTTTCTGTTATACTTTCTGGCAAAAAATTAATTAAATGTTGGAGAAAGATAATTGATAATCTAGAAAACATTAATAAGTACGCAAAGCTGTAGTAATACGTCAGTTGTCTGAATACGCATCCCTTATTTTTGACTGCTTAACAGACATACGAAGTTTCATCAAAATCGGAGGGGGACCCTTCCGTGCCTTCCCTTGTAAGGCGCCTTTAAGCCATCTTCAAGGCGGTATTATATATACAAGGTGTTCGACAACTAGTGGGAAAAAATTTAAGGGGTGATTCTTTGAGGCAAAATAAGACGAAAATCAAGAATAACGAAATTGCGAAAAATGCTTCGTTTGTTAGTTATAAGAGT